GAGAGAGAGAGAGAGAGAGAGAGAGAGAGAGAGAGAGAGAGAGAGAGGCTCCAGCTGGTTTCTAAAAATGTATTCTATTTATAGAGCAGCCCCCTCTCCTGGCTGACATGCCAACATGCAGCACAGACCAGTTACTGAGCCGCTATGGAGGAGTTCATTATCAGTGGTTCTGAGGAACCATGCTGAGTGCTTTCTAAATGTGTTATCTGTAGAGGTCTTAATCAAAGTTAAGGTCTCAATAGGCCTCACAGCACCCACACAATGAAAACAATACATGAAAATGAACTGTCTTTTCAGATTCAGATCTCAAATAAATAAAAACTTTAGTTCATTTTCTGTTTATCAAAACAACAGTTCAACATTTGGAGAAATTGTCAAACAGAATCAATCTACACTCGTTATCCCACAATGACAAAGTGAACACACCTGGTCTGGTCTCACAGCTGACATAAAAGAGCAAGAACCAAAGCCATGAGGCGCATTCAGAGCTCAGAGACATGATTGTGGAGAGGCACAGATCTGGAGAAGGCTACAAAAAAGAAAAAACTGCAATATCAAAGGTTTTCAAGGCCTCCATAATTCTGAAATGAAAGAAGTTTGGAACAACGAGGACTCTTGATAGAGCTGCACGCCTGGCCAAACTGTCAGAGAAGGCCCTTCATGGTAAGAACGGTCCCCTGGAACGCTCCACCAATCAGGGCGAGTGTCCAGACGGAAGCTTCTCCTCAGTTAAAGTCGCATGAAAGCACCTTAATGATTCTCAGACAGAGAAACTAGACTCTCTGGTCTGACGAAACCGAGATTGAACTGTTTGGCCTGAACTCTAAGCAACAAGGCACCGCTCATCACCTGAGCAATACCATCCCAACGGTGAAGCCTGGTGGTGGCAGCATCAAGCTGAAGGTCCGCCCTCCAACAGGATAACGACCTTAAGCACAGAGCCGAGACAAAGCATGAGTGACTTTATGTAAATGTCCTTTTGAGTGGCCCAGGCAGAGCGCTGGACTTGAACCCAATCCAAGATCTCTGGAGTTTCCTGGAAATGTCTGTCCACCGACGGTTCAAACTATTTTAGCATCCACAATGTGGAAATGTGGGACGGGGGTGTGAATACTTAATGAATGTGCTGTATGGTCTTCAAATGCACAGCTACAGCCAGCAGCCAATTAGCTTAGCTTTGCATAATGACAGGGGAAAACAGCTAACCTGACTCTGTGCAAAGGCCAAGACATAGTCTGGCACATAACTCCTTGTAAAACTGCAACTTTTTGGCCCCACATTTCTGAAATCTACACACATGGAATGGTAAGATGAAATAAACCTTTACCAATTTTGATGCAAAATGATCTAGAAATGACAGATAGATAGATATAAATAGTTGATAATAGACTTATTTAGCTTTCTTGCTGTTAGTTTGATGAGAAGATCGCTCACCCTCATATTAAAGACTCTATATAGGTTAATTATTGAGCTTTTGGGAGATTTTGTTAACTTGGACCGTACCATCAGGGTAGCAGTTTCCCCGTTTCCAGTCTTTATGCTAAGCTAACAGGCTGGTGATATCAATGTTGTCATTTCAAGCGTATTTCCCAAAATGTCTAAATCCTTGATGATCATACAACCATTAAGGGTTTAGAAGAAATGTCCTTGGGGTTTTTTGTGTCCTCTTGAGACAAAAGGAAGCTCAATCACTGACTTGTTGGGCTAATCATTCACCTGAACATCAAACAGTAACTGACATTTTGTATCTTTCCAGAGCCAAAGTGAAGGGAGTGATTGAACTCTCCACTTTATGTCGACACTTTCCAAATGTGACAGTCTTCTCAATATCGTACCGTCTACGGTCAATACAGTGTCATCATTGTCTTGATTGTGAGATGATAAATCAGTGACAACAAACCCCAGTAATATGATTATACGGCCAAAGAAACTTTCCTCTTTCAGTTGTTATCTTAAATGGAGTTGTTATCACACAGTATTACAATATTATAAAGATTAAAAAACACTTATAAGTGGTGGTAGCCTATTCTGCAACGACCTGCTTTATCTCAGTCGGCAGCGGAGGAGCCACGGAGGGTTTCTGCATCGACAGACAATCCCCCTTACTCCCTCCCTATTTTTTATAGCGTAGCTCGGTTTGGTTTATGGGGATTGCTGAAGATTAAACTGTTGGGAAATCTGTCCCACGGGTTGGACAGGATAGAGGGTGGGGTGGTACGTGGAGAAGGGGCCAAGTGTGTTTTCACCTCCATGGTGAACTATGGTCCGTGTTTGTCATAATAGTCATATAACGACCTCCAGATAGCGTTTCTCTAATCCCACATCCCACCGATGTTTCTCAAGAAAACGTCTGAAAATCGTCTGCGAGGACAGAAGAATAAGATTTCTTTATGACTTTATAAAAAGAACAATGGACATTCAATATTGTTGTTCTGAAGATATGATATTCATGAAATGTTGGCTTTGGCAGAGCTAAAGCTAATGCTCTTTCTGGAGTAAGCCCCAGTCCCTGTCACAATTATGGGAGGAATGTTTGGATCGCTTCAAGAAAACATCATCCAGTTCAGATTGTAGCAATCACTTTTGTTTGTTTGCAACTCATCTGCGTTGATTGGATACACCCATTCCTATCCGACCACAGCCTGAACTGCAATAATACAGAGACGATTTAAAGATTTAGCACATAAAAAGACGGCTGTCGTTCCCTATTACGAGGCCTTTAGAGAGCTCAGACAGAGCTCCTCGAGCCCAGCCCACTGACTCTCAATCTCTGTTGCCCAGTCAGCAAAGTGACCCCTGGGTGTGCTGATAGTAGCCTACACCTCACCGACCAGCTCTATCAGAAAAGCAGCAAAACACACAGTGGGATTTGCTCAGGCATGGAGTTCACCCCTGGTTTCTATGTGCGTACAGTAAACGAGTTAATTATTACATCAGGCTGCCTCCAGATTAGTCACTGACGAAGCTTCTGATACAAGAGATCACTGATTCTGACATTTCTTACTGAAACAATACTTAATGACTTGAAACTAGAGATTGAGACCATAAACTCATGTTTACAATGTTTACTGAGGTAATAAATCAAGAGAGAAGTAGTCATTTTCTCATAGACTTCTATACAACCAGAGGAGTCGCCCCCTGGTGGTCAGTAGAGAGAATGCAGCTTTAAGGCACTTCCACATTGGCCTCACTTTACAGAAGAGGCTACCGTCTGGTTAGGCTTCAAAAGTAAATGTGTATACATTGGCTATGAATAAGTTGATGTGATTTCTATTTATAGCTTTTTACATTGGATCACCTCAGTGTGGTGATTAGCCATGTTTATGGCTCAGACTTGGCCGACGAATGTTACGCTTTTGGACGGTGTCACTCAATATATGACCTAATCTTTGATATGAGACATACGCAGATGTAATACAATCAAAGTTCTGTTTCAAAAATGCAGAACATGTCAGTTGGTTGATACTTGAATACTGTTTGTTTTCCATCATGATTCAAGTAGTGGACAGAAACCAGGTTTATTTACCCAAGTATTTTACTTAAGTTTAGTTAAGTTTTCTGCAACTTTATACTTCAACTCTCCACTAAATTCAGAGTGAGATATTGTACGTTTTACTCCACTAAATTGAATAAGTATTAAAATTCATAATTAAACAAATCAAAACATGTAATAGTAATAATATTAAATCAATTATGATTCACTATTTATAGGTCAAGAGAAGACTTTATTGATAAATTCACAAGCAGCATATAAAGTAATTAAAATAAGCTCCACCTTTTTTAGCAGCTGCAACATTAGTGATGTACACAGTGATGGGATATTATGCATAATGAGTACTTTTACTTTTGGTACTTTGAGTATACACTTTTGTATTTTGTTACTTAAGTAAGATTTTGAATGTGGGACTTCTGTAACAGTGTGAGCTGTATTACCGCCTCAGTAAAACATTTCTGTGAGGAACCAACACTAAAGAATCAATCAGGAGCTGTACAAGAGGATACAAAAGTGAGGGATTCACAGACAAGATGCCTTCACGAAGCGTTTTGGAAAAACTGATATAGAACCGAGTTCATCACTTATAAAAGGGAAACACGAACTTCAGAACAGCTGCGTTTTGTCGGATGCCTCATGCTGTGAGTATAATGCTGAAGCTAAAAACCTGGGTTGCATGATTTGGGTCGACCCTGCACAGAGAGTCTGCATGTGCATGTCTTACCTTGACGAACAGAGAGACGTCCGGCTGTCCGGGATCAGCCGGCGCAGCACTGCTCTCATCCAGAGTGACATTCTCCAGAGTTTTCAGGCTGTAGTCGACGGACTCCTTAGGCGTGGTGTCGGTGCTGGGCTTTGTGTAGGACATCAGCATCCCGTCATCTTCTTCCTGGACCCTCGGCTGGACCGGCGGGTCGTCGCACGGGTCTCCGAGTGACTCGGAGGATGCTGAGGAGACCGACGAGCGCCTGGATCCGTCGCGCGCCTCGCCGTTCACTTCCTCGACCTCCACCGCAGGCTCCGGCTCCACGTTCACCTCTGCCACTTCCTCAGCTTTCACCTCTTCCTCAGCTTTGGCCTCCTCGTCGTCGCTGGATGAAGAGGAAGAGGACGAGGACGAGGACGAGCCGCTTCGTTTGTCCTTATCCCTGGTGTCCATGTAGTCCGGCGAGCTGCGCTCTCCCTCCGCAGCGACGTGGACCTGCACCTCGCGGTACAGCCGCTCCTTCGCCTCACCTGGGTTCTCGTATGCGGTCTCTGGGTTGGGGCTGTCCGCTCCATCGCGGCTCTCTTCATGCGCGCTTCCCTCGCATACTGTGTCATAGGCGTTGTCCATGTTTGTTGGATTTGGGGTAGTTTTTTTCCTTCTGGTGGACCTGGAGGTTTTCACGTGTTGGAGCGCTGAAGTGGTGGCACACGGTCTCGCCTGCCTCTGAACTGACTGAGCGTCCGGGCAAATTCCAGCGATAACTCATAGGAGACCTTTGATCCTGCAAGTTAACAAGTGATTTATGCAAAAGCCGAGGCCTTCAAGGACACATCAGCTCAAATGCAACACCCCTTCAGTGCAGTGAACAAATTTTTCCCCCACTCTTAATCTACTCAAAGCTGGAACAATTTAAATAATCATAATTTATATTTTTCAATTTTGTGAAATATACTTCAAGCGAACAGAAGTTTCTTAGTTTGTAATAAATATTTGAATGGATTAGTTCACTTAGGTTGAAGCGACACATTAGTTTAGTTTGTTACAACTTACATTGTTAATGCTAATAATATTTCTAAGGGGCTGTGTGGAAATTATTAGAGGGGGGGGGTCAGAATTGGGGAAGGTTCTGTATTTTCCTTTCACTGAAGGGAGGATGGTGTTCATTTTATTTTTCACCAGATTTATATTTTATTTTTAAACACAGTATGTTGCATGTGCCCCATTTATTATTCATTAATAGTTTAATTAGAACCCATTTGTTTAACAGACCACTGCTAGTTATAGTTAGTATTATGTCAAAGAATTAGGCAATTTGGAAGTCAACCTCTAATGTGCATATCATTTCTCAAACAAAGGTTCAAATTGGGGTAAATCATTATTCTACAATTATTTCTGCTTTGCCTTGTTCAGTTATTGATGATTCAGTTATATCTTTTTGAGAATTTTTTCTCAACAAAAGACTGTCTAATGCTGAGGGCCTTGTTTTTTTTAAACTAGCCCTGCTCTCTCCGCCAAAATAGTTTCAATGCCATACAATTACTATTTTTACATGCTTTTATTCAGCCTTCAGAATCAGATCTTTTGAACTGTTTGGCCTGTTTCCTGTGAATCCGTGGGAGGAAAGTGACAACATAAATGGTCTGCACTAGCAAAATGTGTAAAAGGCCCTTGTATCATACAAACACATGCACACACACAAAATAAAATACAAATTGCTCAGTTTCACATAAGTCTTTAATTGCATCAACATGGCAAAGATAGTTCATTTGTAAATCATATTTAATTTTAAAACCAGGTTAATAATCAACTAAGATTAACCTGATGTAACAATTTGTTCTTTTCTAACAATTTCAAATGAATTGTTTGAATATATTCTGGATATATTTCATTTCTCTGTCAACAAGTCAGGGGAAATTATCAGACACGTCTCTTTCATAAAACAAGAAAATTATCATAAAATTAACAATTTCCATATAAATGCTTTCAATTAGTTAAATTTTGTAAAAAGTCTATATCACAGTGATGTCTGTAATCGTTTGGGGGGCACAGGTCAATGCATCTAAAAGCACAAGGAGAAAAACCAATCGTTTCTGAAAAAAGATTCTGAAAATATTAGAATTTTATTTGCAGATTTGGATTCTACTTGACTTTCTATAATTATACTAATTTAAAAAAGCTTTTTGGCAAGACACACCTCTTTTTTTTTTTTACACCATTTGAAATAGCGACTACCAACAAGAAGTGCAAATTAACCATGACCTAAAAAGCATCCAGCTACTACCCCTTCCTTCTGTTTCATTTCTATCCCGTAGTGCAAATCAGGGGAACAGTTCTTGCACGTCATGCCGAAATAGTCTTCTTAACAAAGCAACAACAAAACCCTTATAATCCCTATGACGAAATACTGACCCAATAGCAATTGCACTTCACATTTCACCAACACATGGCCACGGTTATGACATATGAACACTGCCATCTATTCAGGAAAATGTCCTCCAAACACAAATTCTACAAAAAAAAAACAAAAAAACAGACTTGACACAAACAATTGCACACCTTAGAGAAATGTTCTCCGTTAAGTTAAAAGGCAAATGGCAACTCTCTACTAAAGAGCAAGGTTGTGATGGGATTACCTACATGAGCAGAAGCCTGGCACACGGAGTGAGTCTCTAGTGGAACATCTGCATTCATGTAACATTCAAAAATAACACCCCAGTCGACACTAAATTCATTTGATTACTTCTCTGATTAATCACAGCATTTATAATTTAAAGCAACTTCTAATTCAGTGCTCGGACCACAAGTAGAACAATTGGTGGCAAAACAAATCTGAAAGGCCCGTTCTGTGTTTCCCGTTTGAAAACTCACGTTTCACTAAACAGAGTAACCGAACGTAACCTCCGTTCGTTGGCCGTTAGCAGTGCTGCTAACGTTACTAGCTCTCCTCCTGTCAATTTAAACATGGGTTAGATGTTAACAACAATATTATCAGAGATCGGAGACTAGAAAAGCATAAATGCCGATGTCCTGATCGCATATTTTACTGAATATTTGAATGTAATAATAACTAATTAATCCGCATGTGAGGGGGGATGCGTACGGGTCCCGGATCGACAATGGTCCGTTACACCTTTCACCTTTCAGACTAACAGGTTTGTTTAGAGCATACTGACGCCTCAATTTTGGCCAACAAGGGTTCGTGTTTTCTATAATCACAGGCAAAAATCCTACTTTTAACTTTAAAGTTTTACTTATAAAGTGACAATGAGGAGATGATATAGGGTGAAATTCACAATCAAAGCAAAGCCACTATAAAACCCATGTAAAGGTTTATGTATGTTGATTAACCCTACACCAGAAGCAAACCCCATACATTTCCCTTACACTCAAGCCAGCCAGATGCACATCTTGGGGGGTGGGGGGGGATGCTTCTGGACAGAGCGAACTACCTTGGGGAGCGACACCTCTTCTTTTACGTCTGCCAGCATTTCCCTTTCTTCACCTACAGGTGCATGTCCTTCAGCAGCAGGGGCTGAGACATCTCCCTGCTCCCGTGTTTCAGCGGGGGCAGCTGTTTGAGCATCACTTGTTTTATGTAGATCACCAGAAAGCCCAGCACCATCACCACACCGAGGAAAGAGCCCACAACGGGGGCGTAGGAGTGGACGTTGACCCTGGGAGGGGCGCTGAGTGCGAACGGGGCCGCCTCCTGGGACAGCAGGTCCTGTACGTTTAGGAGGGAGCCGTTGTTCGGCAGAGGGTGGATGGACAGGATGTGGCACATGAGAGGGTAAAGGTCGACGGAGCGCATGGAGGTCTTCAGGTAATTCTGCCGAAAGGCCGGCCCGTGGGCCACAAACACAGGCTGCATGCTGCGTAAGGTATTGTCGTACCCATGGTTCCCAACTGGAGAGAAAAGACAAGAAATGTATTAGCATGAATGCATGAATACTTCCAAAACTAGACGACTCGCACCAAAATAATATTGACTGATAAATGGCACTCGTAAGAGGAAAAATAGTTTCTTAAAAAGGTACCCTGAGAGGTATTTATTTTTCAACTGGTAAAACTATGTAGAAATGTTTTTCTATGTTTAGTTTGTATTGTCTACACGCATGAGGACGCACATGTGCCAGCACAGTAGCAGCAGAATACAGTCCTGCCAATTGCATTCTCTACTGACCACCAGGGGGCGACTCCTCCGGTTGCAAAAAGAGGTACATTTGTAAAAAAGTGTGAGAAAATGACTCTACTTCTCTCTTGATTTATTACCTCAGTAAACATTGTAAACATGAGTTTATGGTCTCAATCACTAGGTTCAAGTCTTCTTCAATACAGCATGATGTTCATTTAGTAAATGATGGTCCATTTAGAGTCAAACAGACCATAAAGCAGAGTATGCTTTAGGGCGGGGCTTTAGGGGCGGGGCTTACAGGTCGCTGCCGCTAACAGAGCCATATACGGCTTCTCTACGTCACTCCTTCGCATTCCAAATATGGTAACTTCCGTTCATTGGTAGAAAAGTTAACACGGGCGTAAAGAATGCAGGATTTAAAATATTTGTTTTAAATGGCTTTGCAAATGTTTTATGAGGAAGGAAATGTATTTAACATGTTAATTAGACCTACAAGTTACTGCATATTGACAACCCAATACAAGAATATAAAAACACCAGATGTGAGACGCATCAACACAGGAAACAAGCTAGAATTCATCTGTCCTACCATCTTCAGTTGAAGTAAACGAGGGAGAAAGTGATTATTCACAGAGCAGAACTGTAACGTTGCAACCAGGAAGTGCAGGTCCAGTAAACGCACACCGATAACGAACATTATGAGTCAGCATTGGGGCGATTCATGCACACTGGGTCTATACACTAATGTAATTAAGTGCCTTCACCGAGGAGCAGACAGTAACTGCTGTAGTTTCATTATCCAGGCCTATTGATGTCTCATAAATCAAACGGCCATACAGTAGAAACTATCTTTGAGAAGTGTCTTACTACACATCTTCAGCTTCGCAGTCTCACCCCACGATGTCCGTGAGGACAGAGTCAGCAGGTCTTTCCTTCCAGCCACAGACTCCACCAGGTCATTTTACTGATTAACAAGCCTTCAACAGCAGAGCAGGAACATTAGCTGCAATGAATAGCTCCAATACACAGTTTGAGATATCTTATCTAAAGAGGGTTTTTTTTTTTTAAGACAATTGAAGAAGAAATGAGTGCACTTTGAGGCAGCGCAAGACAAACTTCCAAACCCAGACACAGCTGCCGTTTCAAAAGGGAAAACCAATCTGACTTTCTTTGTTGATTACAGCTGGTAATACATGAGCTCCTGTGACGCTATTAATAGAGCAGACTGGAGCTGCTGTTTGAAACAACAGCTACAAACCAGCGTATTGTGCCCACACAGCTTTATATGAGCTTTGAACACGTACGCATGAAGGGCCCGGTCCTGTTCTGCATGATGGTCCAGCCTTCCTTGGACTCTATGAGGATGGGCATGATCCTGATGTTGTGTTGGTAATGGAAGCGCTCGGGAAGGTCTTCCTTCTTGTACACCACCATGTTCGGGTTCGCGTCCACCAGCTTGCTGTACACCTTGTCAAACTTCCCTGCAAGACAGAGGAGAAGAAATGATACAACACATTAGTGCAGTGGTTCTCAAACTGTGGGGCGCGCCCCTCTAGTGGGGCGCGGTGGTATTACAGGTGGGGCGCAGGGGGAAATGCAGAATTTTTTATTTTTTTTTAAGTAATTAATAAATACATGGCGAAATGTATGGAAGCCCGTTTCCGCCATTGTGAGGAAAAATACAGTCATTATAATGAGATACCATCTCAAAATAATGACTTAGCTTCTCATAATAATGACTTACTATCTCATAATAATGTTATGTTTATTTTATTTGATATGGACATCACAGTAGCATTAGAATTGTAACATACATTTATGCACAAAGCCCAGATGCACTGTGTTAAGTGTTTGAAGCGAAATGCTAATTTACAACACCTGTCCACAGGAGGCTTTTTGCCAAATTGTAGTTCCTTTTTGCACAGATAGAACTTTATTTGCATTGTTCTAACAAAGTGATTGCACATTGTATTTGTTTTTGTCTGATGGAGCAATCTGGTTTACTTGAAAGTGATTGCAATTTTCTTTATTCTATTATTTGAAAAAGCACAGACGGAGGAGTCACAAAATGTTATTTCAATAAAAATTCAACATGGACCATTTTGTTACAATTTTGTTGTGGCGGTGGGGAATGAACATTTTTCTTCCTCCAAAGTGGGGCGCGACAGAAAAAGTTTGAGAACCACTGCATTAGTGGGTGGATTTTTGTCACCTTTTAGGACATACTCAGGCTAGCTGTTTCCCCCCGTTTTCAGTCTTTATGCTATGCTACGCTAACTGTCTTGTAGCAGTACTGGATCTTCTCCCCAAACAAAAATGTCAAACATTTAATGAACTTCTTGATGGCACTGAATGTGACGAGATGTTTTATAGTGATACCTTCTTTGGGCAGTAATGCCACCACCGGACTCTTGTCCACCCAGGTGTACAGGTCTCTGCTCACATACTCGTCCAGTTCTATGATCTTGTCGGGGGAAAGCTGGGCCATGCCGTGGTCGCTGGTCACTATCAGGTTCACGCTCTGGTACAGCCCCGCCTTCTTCAGCTCGTTGATGAGGAAGCCGAGCTTCTCGTCGATATCGGCGATGACGGGGTCCATGAGGGAACTCTCAGGTCCCAGGCTGTGCCCGCTCTCGTCCGGCTCCTCCCAGTACAGAACTCCGAAGTCCACCGCTTCCTCTTTGGGTGCGGAGAACCACTCAATGATCCGCTCCACTCTGGTTTCAAAGGAGACCGAGGCATTATACGGGAGGTACCGGTTGGGGAACACGCCGTGGATCTTCACGTCGGACCCCGGCCACATCGCCGCTCCGCTCCGCCCTCCAGCTTTCTGGATGGTCACCCAGAGAGGCACCGCCTCCTCCCACCACCGGGACTCATATATACTGTCCGTCTCCATGGAGAAGGACCGGTTCAGAGCGGGGTCGTACATCTCGTTGGCCACGATGCCGTGCGTCTCAGCGTACAGCCCTGTCACCAAGCTGTAGTGGTTGGGGAAGGTTTTGGTGATGTAAACGTTCTCCACGTGCTCCACCATCACGCCGTTGTCAATGAGGTTGTGGAAGTTGGGCGTTGGGACTCGGTTGATGTAGTCCCAGCGGAAGCCGTCAAAGGACACGAGCAGCAGCTTGGACCGGTCCCTCGCGCCGTGGCTCTCGCGCCCATGTTGGTTCAAGCGATGGAGGGAGACCAGAGGCAGCATCAGGGCCCACAGGAGAACCAGAGGACCGCAGCCTCTTCGCAGCAAGCAGCCCAGCATAGTGTGGTGTGTGACGAGACAACCTGCAAGCAAAGGAAGAAGTCAGTGAGCTGAGCAATTAAGCCCTCGTCTGGAAAAAAAGTATAAGGACACACCAGGCTCTGCAGAGTGAAGCCGATGTGCAAGTGTCTTAAAACCTGCATTCTCTCTACTGGCCAGCAGGGGGCGACTCCTCTGGCAAGTCTGATTTGTATAGAAGTCTATGAGTAAATGACTACTTCTCTCTTGATTTATTACCTCAGTAAACATTGTAAACATGAGTTTATGGTCTCAATCTCTAGTTTTAGGTCTTATTCAATACAGCATGATGTTCATTTAGTAAAATATGGTCCATTTAGAGTCAAACAGACCATAGAGTACAGTATCCTTTAGGGTGGGCTTACCTCCAACACCAGCTGACTTATTTACATTATTCTTTTCTTGATAAATCTTTTGTCTATCAGCTGTGACGTCTCCAAACATCTCTTTTTATCTGACCCACAGCCAAAAACAAAGACATTCACTATCATGTAGGACAAAGAAAATACACCGGTCATCTTCGGCCTTTGACCGACTCGTTGATTATTCAATCAGCAGTACTTCCAACTTTGTTTGTTTGGGAGACGCCTCTGCCTCCAAACATCAGTGTCCAAACCTCCGCTTTACATTTAAAAAGCTGTAGTTTTTTAACGAGATGTTAAAAACAACAATCACAAATGAGGCGTAACATTCAGGAGTCGACCTACTTTGTTCTAATGTGAAAAATACAATTTGGTAATTTAGTGTACTTCCTTGTACACTCGCAGTGCAAAACAGAGATCTTGGCCATATTGATAAAACCAACATTAAGCCATTTGCAACCAAATGCCTTTTGAATCAAGCGATATTTTTCTTGATTATGACATAATCGATTAGTTGCACAGTAGAAAATTCATTGCCATGAATTTATAATCAAATTGCAAGAAATTGGCTGGTTCCAGCTTCTCAAATATGAAAACCAGCAGATTTATTATATTGTACATTGAATATCTTTGGGGTTTGAGCTGTTAGACAAAAACAAGCAATTTAAAGATGACACATTGTGAACATAATGGGTACATTTTAAAGGTTGAAATTATGTATCAGTTTGGAGTTAGACAGCAGCCACACTCAACATGACATGCTCAGCTCAGGAGGAACAATGATGTCATTGTTCAGACTGAGGATATATACCGACTGCAATGCATCTTTAAGAGCAACTTACCCACAAATGTCTACATGACAGCCCTCCTGCTGACAGCCTTAAGGGGAATAATGGGTTCCATGTTTTAGCATTTCAGCTGCAGAGCTAACTGCTACAAACACGCAGCTCCGCGTGCAACAGGAAGACAACCACGCACAGCGAAGACACTTCACGCGAGCGGACCGGGGGGCAGGGACATTAATTTAAAAAACGCAATTTATTGTAGTGTTCCACTTACGAGTCGGAGACAGGGTGAACTGTACAGGGTCGCTACAAGATTATGCTGTCAACAAGCTTACCTTGTTGTCTGATCGTGAGCTGGCTGGCCTCGCGCTGCAGGCTGCACACTTAGATAAACAGCCGGATGGAAGTCCCGCCTATTAACCTGCTGTTTTGTTATGTGTGTGTGCGCGTGTCGCATTTATTTAAAGATATTAAACCAAACCAGATCATCTGAAGACAAGAACGGAGAGCTGCATCCCCCCCCCTCAAAATCAACTGCGAATGCGCCGGTACCAATGACGTAATGCAGGGAGAGGAGGAGGGGGAGAGTTCCGGTATTATAAATAGACATCTTGGTGTCAGTCAAGTCACGAGCATTTTGTTTTTTGCCTTTAAGATAAACAATACAATTAATGAAGGGAAATATGTCAAACGTGAAGGGCGTTACATTCAAATACGTGAAGGCAGAAACAAATATATTCTCCTAATTGTCCCTCCTTAAAATATTCACCTTCAGAGACGTTGTTGTTGCCCTAATTCTCCCCGGTAATGATGATGCTGAAAGTGCGATGTAATAGCCGCCCTGTGGACGCTGTCATGACAGACAGCGTCCACGATGTGTCAGTCAAGTGCTGTCTAAAAGGTTCCTTCACATTCTGTTAAAAATAAAGACGGCATCTCAATTATGACGCTGCATCGTCAGAGAGAGAGACTATTTCTGACCTACTGAGAAGCACCTCTATGTCTGATGCGCAGTGCTCAAATACAACTTTTAAATTCGCTCTTCATTTGTTATGAATTGCTATTTAACACAATGTCCATTTATTTTATGATTTTGTTCATGGTGATTATGATCAAAAAGCTCCTGAAGAAGCTGATAAATGGACCTTGAGATGAGATTGTTTAGTCAATTTCTGTTTCCAAAGTCAAGCATGAACTCCAAATCTGTTTTAATACGAGGTTACAGTGTGAAATAGACTTCTACAGGAGCAATGCTCTGTTATGACAGTCGGGTTTAGGTTTATTTCTAAAGCACATATCAGAGACATAGACGGGTGAATAAATAAAGAATAAATGAGTGAAGAAACATAACAAATGCAGTTGTCAGGTGTCACTGAATGGCTCGAAGAGCATCAAGGGATCACATTCTGTTCCTCACTCTCAAACTCAACTCAGACATCTGATGTGGCGGAGCTGAACTAAAACCAACTAAACCTCACATGAAGCCTCCGGGGTTGTTTCTAGACCGGAGATCATACTAGTTTGATTTATAACAATGTTTTATGTTGTTTTGTTGATGCAAGAATGGGATTTGGGACACTATGTATTGAAAAACTCATATCATGTTTATTCTCACACAGGTTTTGGGTTATGGCCTAAAGGAACAGTGTATAGCATTTAGGGGGATCTATTGGCCAAAAAGGGAATATAACACTATATATTCTCTTTAGTGTGTAAAAAGTAGTTGTGTTTCATTAGCTTAGAGTGAGCCGTTTATATATCTACATATGGAGCAGGTCCTCTTCACGGAGCCGGCCGCCATGTTTCTACGGTAGCCCAGAACAGACAAACCAAACACTGGCCCCAGACAGGGCCCTTCATGTGTTTACGTTTTTAGCATCGGTCGCCGTACTCTTCTACACGCTTGGCACACGGGAGAGCTTTCAGTTGGTTGCAACCTTACTCCAAATCCTTCACACTGCACCTTTTAAAATGGGATGAGGTTTGCTCTGGTTTCTTTCAAGTAGAGTAACTTATCATTGGACATGCGTCCTCCTATAAATATGTTTAGATCATACATCAAATGAAAAGCCTTTTTCTATTTGAGTGGCAATGTCTGGTCGTCTATCGTCCATTCTACCACTATGGTCCAGACTAAAGTATCACAACAAGCATTAGATGGAGTGCCATGACATTTTACAGACATTCATGGTCCCCAGTGGATGATCCCTGCTTTGCTGATCCCCTGACCTTTCCTCTGGTGTCGCTGGCAGGTTGACATGTGATGATGTGGGTTATGCCACACACCCCCCCCCCCCGCCTTTAGGAGACTTGCGGCAGGTCCTCAGTCTATTAACTCCAACGGGAAACGGGGACACAGATTATGACCGATTCTTTCGCTCCATAGTAACCAAACTAAATATTGGACCCATTTTTCACAAGCCACATATCTTGAAGAAAACACAAATCGGGGGAAAATTCATTTTATTCAAGTCTTTTCTCTGTCTCACACACCTGGTAGCTAATGTTTGCGAACTCCCTAGCTTCACATCGTGACCAAGTTAGAAGACAAGAAGTGTATCTCAAACCATTGGCAGATTTTGTAATGCGTCATCTTTTTTTAATAGAGCCTCTTTGATTGTAACGCACTTTGGTGATCCCTTAACGTTTCCTCTAGCGCCATCATCAGGTCAAGAATTTGAATCCCCTTGATACTTTGTTTACGACCAAATACCTGCAAAGCTAATGACATTCTAATCAGTTTCAGTTGTGTTTAGTGTTAATCAGACAATGTTACCCTGCTAACAAGCTAAACTAATATTGTAAACATGGTAAACATTATACATGCTAAACATCAGCATGTAGCATTCTCAGCATGTTAGCATTGCTGTATGAAGAGCTGCTGGCACGGCTGATTATAGGCTATCGGTGGCTATATATTATTTTAGAGCACACGTTTTCAAAAGTGTCAACATTCATTGATTTATATCTTCTTCTTTTCTTTTGTTAAAGATGAAAGCTTTATGTATTGTGTGAAGAAAATCAAACCACCACAATTTCTAAGCTGTCATTGATCTGATTTGTGTTGGGTGCTTAAAAACAACTGAAAACTCCCCGTCGAGGCCCAAAATGCACGTTTCCAAGATTCAACATTTTAAATGGATATTATGTTACAATAGAAAAAGAAAGCATTAGGAAAAAAAGACAACTGATGCTCATAATAAGTGACAAAAGGGTAGAAAAGCATGCAAACCGAGCGGTAATGGTGAGTTGTGCCAAAGAAGTGTTATAAAACATTTAAAGCAACATTCTGGGGACGATTTCTTTTCAGTGTGGATTCCTTTTGTGTCTTTCTTTTATGTATGTATGTGCTGTACATGTTCCTCATTGTGTTTTCCCTGCCATTTAGCTGACAGTGTGAATTTATGTGGGAACAGTGGAGCGGTCATCGAGCTACCTGTTCTGTGTGTTCTGGGTTGACTTCTAACATGAAGGGTTTTGTTTGTTTGGGCAGGAAAGCTCCGTCTATTGTGAGATTTGTAGCTGTGGTTGTGTGTGTGTGTCTATTGTGATGCTACACAAGAATGTCGAGGCTGCTATTGTCGATTTCCCTGTAGAATGTTTTTTGGCCTTCTATGTTTCAAATGATGTGCTGAAGGTAAATGCATAGCAGAAGCCATTGTTTTATAGAAGTTGTTCTTATTTCCATACTACTGGATGCACAGAATATTATTATAAATTGATTAGATATAAAAATGCCAAACATTCCTTGGTTTTGTTTTCATTAAATGCGAAGTCTTTCTTTGTTACATATGGTAGTAAATAAATATTATTCCACTTACCTGTAGTGCTATATATCAACCTAGATTGTTTTGGTGTGAGTTGTCTGCCTTGTTTGATGTAATGGGACCAGGTCGGACTCTGCATTGTGGTGCTCAAAGCACCAAAAAAAATTGAAAAAATGAACAGCAATGTTCTTTCCACGCGTCCTGACCTGGTTAATCAAAATAATCCACAGACCTTGATGTGAGCAATTTTATGCAGGACCTTTTTTTCTTACCACTAAATGACTCCTGTCTACCGTATCACCATGCATGAAGGAAGCGTGCATCTATACTGCTAGCTCACCTAGCACCACTGAGCTAGCTAACGTTACAGCTCAGCCAAGGACATTTATGTCATGAATGTTCACGTCTTGCGCCATCACGAGCATGAACCTCTCGTCGATGAGTAGATGAAACAATAAATGAATTAGAATTGGAAAAAACAATCTACAGTTTAATCAATAAAAAGAGGTTAGTTGCAGCCTCACATTTAAGCACCGCGGACAAATTGGAGTAATGGCACAAATGGATAATTAAAAATGGTTCCACTCTTCAGTCTCTTGAATCTATCAAGTCTGATTCCGTCTGTTTTATCAGACAGAGATTTTGTATGTTTCAGTTACGTGGGGCAACTGAAGCAATACATATGAACAGCGGTGTGCAGAAACTTGGTAAGGTCTGTGCAAAACAGGGTTAGGGTTGAGATTATGAGTTGGATTTTACCCTAAAGTTACAACAGAGTGACATGCTGGAAGAGTCACTTGGGCTGCCCTGAGAGGTACTTTTGGGACTCTGGGACCAATTTGAGCGGATCTTGGGTCAAACGGCGGGTACCTACCAGATCATAGCTTTCTGCCACTTGGTCTGATTGAAGTCTAATTTATACCTTTCACATCTGACAAGTGAAGCCAATGTGGAAGTAAACCTGCATTCTTTCTAATAGTCATCAGGGGACAACTCAATCTCTAGTTTCAAGTCTTCTTCAATACAGCATGATGTTCATTTAGTAAATGATGGTCCATTTAGAGTCACATAGACCTTAAAGCAGGGTAGGCTTTGGGGCGGGGCTACCTTGCGACTGACTGGTCGCTGCCACGGTGTTGTCCGATCTGAGAGTTGTCTGTGTTTTTCTTCTTTCAACTTTCACACTTTCACACTGTATTTTCACTTCAAGAACGTTTATTGTGACATTTTGAAAATGTATCATTCAGCATTCGGTTGTACTTAGCTCCAACCTCTTGTGTTGCTTCTGGTTGCAAAAAACAAGATGGCGATGGCCAAATACACGAACCAATGGCTGACGTCACGGTGACTACGTCTGCTTCTTGCATACAGTCTTTGATTTATAAAGATTTTTGAGTTTAGTTTCAAAAACTCAAACCTATTCCACTATTTTGAAAATATACATTTGTAAAATGCTTATGAATGCAGGTTTTGATACGTTAAATATTCCTTGACATAATTTGAGAAAATGTTTTCTTGTTTATTATTTATGTGAGGGATAAATTGTTATGTGTACCAAACACATTATTACCTCTATGGCATATCCTGATCTAAGAGCTTTAAGTCTGTTATGGTATTCTTTCTAGTTATTAGGTTCATTTTATTCTGACTTTGCTGTAAATTCAATTCCTAGCGGAGAGATAAACACAAATGAAGCACTGCTGCATATGAAATATACAATTTAGCCTACAACCTACATGTACACCTGATATTTTACACTCTTATTAAAAAAAGTGTCCTTATAATAAAATAAATTACTGAGCAGTCCACTCAGTTTTCTGCAATAATGCATTTATGGTAGCTGTATTTAAGTTATTGTTTTACTAGTATTATGATGCCCCCTACAGGGACCGGTGCCTCTGCAGTGATGGTCCATTTGTTGCGCAAAATGTGATGCATGTTGCTCTAGTTCTTTACAGAAATGGAAACCCTACAAGACACAATACCCGCCAGAATTTCCTCTGTGGCCGACATTGTGTTATTGTGCCCGTGTTTCTGGTCCTTTGTGTTTTATTTACACCATTCTCTCTCTCTCTCTCTCTCTCATCCTACATTACCCAGATCCACCGAGAGTCGGCCCCCGCTTTCATTGGCCCGTCTCCACTTTCCCTCTCAGCCGTGGCCGTGTGGTAGGATCTGCGCACAAAGAGCGCGCAGCCAATCACAGACACCCTCTGATAAACCTCGGCCAATGACCGCGAGCCTCTTATTTACATAGAGACGGAACGAGCCAATCACGAGTCAGCACAGGAGAGGATTTTGACTCCTGTGCCCAATGGCTGTTGGAGGTAGGCCTGTAGAGTTTTGGGGAGTGCATATAATCAACATATTATCGAAGGTGCCTAGATATTGATCCCGTATTCCGAGGTAGTTCAAATTCGCCTCTTCTGGACCTTCGGGTTTGACCTCAAATCGTCCGTGCTTGGTGGAGAATAATTCACGCGTAAAATGCCGAAGAGAAAGGTGAGTGTCGTCCGTGCCACACAGCTCACTTCACTGTAGTTGTTTTTTTTTTGCTCTTGCATTTGAGGAAAATTGCGCTGCGCGATTTCTGTGGCGACGTCGAGGCAGGTGAGGTGATGCCAAAGTTTGAGGAAGCGTATTTTCGCTCGCGACCTCTCGTTTTTAATTTGACAAGTCTTTGCGCGTATACGATATATGTTATTGTAATATATATTTCTCTTTTTATGCTCCTAAATGTCCCCCGCGTTCATCTCAATGGCCGTTCCTGTGGTCGTTTTATTCGCCACTTCCCTGTCTACTGTGCGCACTGGTGAATGTCAGACGGACCCGCCGGATGGATGGATGCGTAAATCTCGCTAGAGACGTGCGTGGTGACAATTATTGTAGGCGCGACTTATCGATTCTGAATAACATGCAATATAACAGTTAAAAACAAACACATCACCACCTCCCTGTCTCATGTTGGTTCTCTGGTGGTGATGAATGTCAAGCGCCAAGCAGATTGAACGAACCGAGATTGACATGGAGAGAAAGGGAATAAAGAAAGAGGGGATCAGGGACAATTGCCGCTGCGTTAAAAGAGGCCGTGACTTCTAAACAGCGGTGCTCGACGAGCTCCAGTGCATTGTATCGGCGCATACATGGAAATTGGCTTTTTTTCCTGCCATCTAAAAACATGCCATTGTCTGCGCAGATTCGCATTTGAGGACAGAGAATGGGGGGCCTCTAGGGGCGGAGGTCGCCCACATGCAAATGATGCGATTGCCAACCTGCGGGGTTTAACCAACATTTTTTTTTTTTCATGGTGGGGGTGGGCTCCACTGTACACGCTCCTCACCTGCCTGCAGCCTAAATGTGTGTCCTCCCATGTTCATGACGCGAGGATCTAAATGTAGGCTGACAGCCCTCGCGATGTGTTCTTAATCAATATCTCCATGTTTATGTTCCATTATAGTTTAAGGGAGCTCAGGTTACTTGGCATGTAAGCAAGAGGAACCCATTGAAATGGTAATGAGCAGAGAGATCACATATCATCAGACAGCCTCAAATGAAATTATGTTTGTACAAATAAACAGACTACTTTAAGCAAATGCGGATTTGGATTCAAACTAAGGTTTAATTATGTAAAACATCAGTTTGTTTCTGATATTTTAAGAAAAATACACAATTATAAGTTTATTCAGAAAATACTGAATATCATTTTTTAAATTATTTAACTTGAGACATTTATGATTCTGATAACTTATTATTGTGCACAAATGTATTCAAATCCTCAATGTATGAATATTCCACTAGACTACCTGACCGCGTGTTAATAAATCAGTGTTTCGTTTTTTGTTAATTTATATGATCCTATCATGTTTGTAACTACGTTTTTAAGTTTGGTTATTTTCATTATCGATTAATCTGTCGATTCATTTTCTCGATTAATCATCATTTGGTCCATAAAATATCAGAAAATTGCGAAACATTTCCCAAAGCTGAAGTTGATGTCTTCAAATTGCTTTATTTTTTTGTTTGACCAGCTGTCCCAAACGCACATTTTCAGCTTACTACTAGTAATAACTAGTTTACTACTATTACAAAAGACTAAAAACTCCAGCAAATATTCCCAGCCAGGAATTTCTTTGGCCTTTTTTGCCCGATTTGCCCAATTTATTGATTATGAAAATAGTTGCAGAGTATATTTTTGTTGACAATTGATTAATCAACACGTTGCATCTGGTAAATATTCATTACATTAGTGTGATTTCTGTTTCTCAGTTTGTAGCCTTTTCACCTTTTTCTCATATACTGCTCATTTGCCTCATTCAGCTTTATAACTCTCCCTGGCTCCCTTTATTAGCCATCTCTCTGAACAGAGGAAAAGCTTTGGGATTTTCATGATTTAATAATTCAAATTTATTGACTGACAGATGAAAACAACCAGAAAACAAAAATTCATAGGCTGCGTGAGCACACACGTACCTTCTAAGACCTGACACTATACTGTCTTCAAGAGGCTGTAGCTAGAGGGAAGATAATGGTATTATGTATATTAAACTAGTTCCCTTAAGGTGTCCACTGCTACCAACAATGTGATGCTAGCTTGTCATTAAGGGGGTGTAAAATGCAAAAAATATATAATTTTACCCCTCAAGCTTTATATGACAACGGGTTCTATCGGTACCTACGAGTCTCCTTTCACAGATGTACCCACTTACGATGTAACAATATTATTAAAAAATGTAAATGTATTTCTAAACTAAACAGTCTTGGAATTGAATAATTTGATTATGACTGGAAAGCTGAGACTTGTATTCATGTGTGATGTGTGTGATGATGTTAGTCCCTATTGTAGCCGTTTCATTGCAGTGAGTTTTTAAAATGACCTGTTGTGCGACCTCTAGGACAATCCCAGCCTCATGAACCTTTACAACCATAAACCAGAGACCGAGGGCATTCAGAGGATGTGTGGTGTTCCTGAGCAGTTACCCCAAACCAGTCACAGAAAAATGAAATTATTGCAGAAATTTCCAAAAGTTGTTGATGCCAAATCACAGCATGACTCTTTCTGTGGTGCTTCTCGAGGTCTTGGTGTCTTAATGTGGTATTTTGGAGGAATTTTTATCTTATCTGAGACACGAGTGATCATGGGGATGGCCATCATGTACTTCCATTATAATGCTCTGAGCCCTTACAACAACTTGACACGCTAATTTCAGTTTCCCAGCTTTCATACGATGTACACCACTTCTGTGTGGCATGTACTGTTGACCTGCTATCCCAACCTAAAGACCCCCCCCCCCCAAAAAAAAAGGCCATAAATTGGACTATGTGGTTCTCTATTAACAGTCTCTCCTTTCCTTGTTTCCTACAGTCTCCAGAGGGTCCCGAGGGCAAGGAGGCCTCCAAAGTCACAAAGCAAGAGGTAACTGTTGATCAATGTGTGTTTGTGTGCTGTGTGTGGGCGTGCGTTTGCGTGCTGTGTATTTTTTGTACTGTGTGTATGTGTGTGTGAGTGTGAGTGAGAAAATAGACACATGACAGGTTAATGATTAGGACACTTGTAGCAGTCACCAAGCACTCAAGATCAGCCTGCAAAGGTACAACTGATATCTGTGTCTCTCTGTCACTGTCTCTCTCTCTTTCTCTCTCTCTCTCTCTCATTGATCATCCCTTGCTCCGGTAGACCCCCAGAAGGTCAGAGAGATTGTTAGCGGTAAGTTTCGTTCTCCCCCCTTCCTGTCCTCACCTCTCTCCTTCCTCACCCCGCCTCCCGCCTCAGTCTTGTGGGATAGGAAGTGTCATACTACCAAGGCTCAGAGCAAAGTCCTCACCGAAGTTTATGGATTCGATCAAGGCAATTTACAAATTCCATAAACGTGCTCCCTGAGGATTGCGTCTGGCTTGGTATGCACGTCTTTTCTCTGTTGTCTTTGTCCGTTCTCGGTCCGGTCTGTTGCAACACCTTGTTGATGTTTGGGGCTGCATGGTTCAATGGTAACAGAATGAGTTTAGAGAACTGTTGTCTCAGTAACGATAAAGCATTTTCTTCTCAATTAGATCCCCCTCTAAAGTTGACTCAACAGTAATCAAAATGACTCCTGGAAAATGTTCAATTTGCATTCAAAATGCTCAAATTGTTCCCCAAATCCTATTAAAACTAACGATAGCTATAATATTATCTAGCACATGAATGATAATATATGTTATGTGATCATGCAGCTCTGCCATACAAGTCCATGTTTTATTATCTGTGTTGTACTTTGCATGTTGAACCCATCTGTATTGAGTCTTTGCTCGTGTTTGTACATCTGCATGTGCACTTTGAAGACATAGTTTGACATTTTGGGGAAATATGCTTGTCATGTAGCTAGCACCTGGTTAGCTTCGCATTACAGACTGGGGGGGGGGGGCACAGCTAGTATGGCCCTCTCCAAGTTTAAATTAAACTAAAGCTCACAAATAAACACAATATCTCATTTTGTTTGATATGTGTAAAACACAAACTGTAAAACCGACAACTTGCTTTTTTACGGGGGACTATTTCTTGGCCCCAAGCAACCGCTGGTGGTCACTATGCTAGCTGTATCCAGCTTTTATGCTAAGCTAACCATCTCTTGGCTAGCGTCATGTTTAACAAGCAGACATGAGCGTGTAAGAAGATGGAAAAAGGGTATTTCCCAAAATATCAAACTACTCCTTTAAGCTTTTGACTATCTAAACATGCCAACTGTACTTTTTTTGCATGTTTCCTGATCTGATGCTTCCTTGTCTATGAACACCTTTTACTTTAATGAAATGTGACTTTTTTTGGCAGTAAACTAGCATGTTGTATATTGGATGCTATCTGCACTGCATAACAAAAATGTAGTCTTTCTAGTGTTTTCCATATTGCAATATGATGGGGAATTTCCTACTTGTAATTGTAAATGTTAAGCCCGCTTCCCCCCCAGCGTAAGAATAAGAAAAACTGAGATATTCTGAGGAAGAATCACATGATTTACTTTAGTCACAGCAGTGTTACTGTAGCTCGTGGCTTCACGCTCAGCGGCCTGGAAAAGCTCTGCAGCAAACTTTCTCACACTGAGTAGCCAGAATCTGAACTCCCATCTGATGTAGTCATTGTGCAGCGGCCGCGGGTCGGTTCCCTTTGAGAAGAAGCAGATATTTAAAACTACTTAGCACTGCTTAGGAAATATGTTACAAGTACTTGATTATTATGAATAATATCGGGGAGTGGGAGCCAGTACAGCCTCGGTGTGTTCTGTGTTAGTCCTAATTCATTCTCTAAGCAGCTCTTGTGGCTAAAGCGACAGGATTTTAAACAGTGTAGAGAGCGGGGCGAATCAAAGACAAACTTAATAGTAATGTTATATAGATAATAGATAGATACTATTCTTCCTATAACTACACACTGTTCAGTTGGTCAGTCCTAACTGACTTCTGCTTAATTAGCAGAAACCTGCTCCAGCCAAGCCTGAGACCAAGCCCAAGAAGGCCATCGCCAAGGTACACACACACACACACACACAAAACAACGCCTACAATGATTTATTCATATCACCATAAATGTGTAACAGTGTGAGGCCCTCACTACTGGTTTATGTGCGTGACAGAGGCCGCTGGATGTGTAAAAAACACATAAACGCACACATGCGAACATACATCAACACCTACAGTATGCAGGGTTCATTCTTTCACCCCCTTTATTGGTGTTTATTTTGAGTATTAAAGTATGAATTGTAAAATATTATGATCATCTTTGAGGTCATGCTGGAAATATTTTCCAAGGATGATTATACGCACCCTCATGTGTTTTGTTTTTCTTTCTTCCTCTCTCCCGTGCAGAAGGTGGCAGAGGATAAGGGGGCGAAGGCAAAGAAAAGCGTCGCTAAGGGTAAGAAGGATGACGGCCCCGCCCAGAACGGAGAGACCAAGACCAATGAGGTATGAGGAGGGAAAATTGAAAAAAAAAAAATCAGTCAGAGACAGACGAGAAAATAACTTTTATTCCCTTATTTTGTCAATTTGTGTAAAAACATGACATACACATCAACCGCACCTATAATCCTCCACTGCATAACATCCCTGCTTCTTGTCACTAATACACATCTCTTAACACATGTGCATGCTGACACACACACACACACACACACACACACAGATCTACGTGTCTCGTCCGTCTGTCCGTGTGTCCTCCATCAGAAGCTCGGCTCCCTCCTTGATGTCAGTGCGAGGGCAGAGTGAGACAGTCAGAGTTAATGGTATGGTTCGAGTGTTTCTAATCCCTCTTCAGAGTGCGTGTTTGGACACTAACTCATTACGTATTCAAAAAAAGTTGCATGTTAATTGAGCCAACATTTACAACGGTGTGCTGTGGAGTGCTGTGGCGTGTGTTTCGAGAGAGAGACAGAATGAGAGCGAGTGAAGAAGAGAAGGAGTGATGTTGCCGTGAAGTGGGCCAAGGACAACTTTTGAGCAGGAAGGTTTTGATGTGAGACGTGATTGGCTGTTCATAGACAGCTGGCTCCACTAGTGGTCAGGTCAGAGGAAATAAAGAGATGATTCCTGCAGATACCACAGGAGTTATGTCTTTCAGCGAGTAGCTTTCCAGAGCAATTAAGTTAAAAAATATAGAATACCACGATAATACACATAAGTCAATGACGATCATTCATTTGAGCTGGCAGCTTGAAGCCGGACCAATCATTAAATTATGGTGAGTGGTCACGTTTTTCCTTTCGCGACTTCTGATAGTTTCGGATTTATTCGCTCAGATTTGGAGGTATCCATATCTGATATCCCAATAAGATGGAGGTGAATTCAATTGTGTTTGTGCTGCTCCCAACATTAAATCAATTATATTAGAGGAATTCAACGGCAGCGTGTCTTTTCAGAATCAAGGTTCCAGTTACTTTTGATAATAAACAGATCTCACCTTAAAAGAGGTTGTAATTGGAACTACTTTCTGCTCGAGAAATAGTCCCAAAACTCACCACATAAAACCGAAACGCATAGAATCAAAACTGTCTGCTTCAACAAGTGGACTAGAGTCCATGTTCTAGATCTGAAAGGGTTACGTAATCCTGATGACTCCATAACTGCTTCTTGGAACACGGCCCAGTTTATCAAAGGAGAACAACACTGCAGCTGTTCTGTAAATACTGCATCTATACAACTCTTCTCTGAGGGACAATGCAATTTCTGAATCATACCTGAAGTAATGAATAAACATAATGTGCTCTATTGCCAAGAGTTAGATGAGAAGATACCGCTCTCGTGTCTCTACCAATCCCCCAGGAAGAGCGCCGGGCTTTGAAGCCAATTTGAATGGCCAAGCCGTTGGATTACAACCTCCGGATTCGTCACGTGATGCCATTGAGCCCAAAAAGATTTTTTTCCATTGATTTATATCGGGAAAGACACAACTATAAACTAGCAGATCATTTGAAAAAAAAAAAGTATAAATCTACTAATAGCCAAAACTAAAGCAACAGGGAGTTAAAGGAAACTCTAATGTGCTTGATTGCCGGAAAGGTCCGGCAGGGACAGCTCGCCTCAAGCCTGGCTCCGTCTTCAGCTTTTATAAACCAGATATCACTTTTTAATTAGTAAGCTTTAGGGTAGATGCCCCAGATGAATAGGGTAAAACTAATTAGCTAATAGATATGAACATACTTACTTACATTAAGAAAATGCTTGTATGTTTAAATATGCAAATAAGGCATCATGTAATGGCAAGAAGTCTACAAATGCAAATGGACTAATTAGTCAAATGTACACATAAATGTCTGTCTTGGATGTTTTCTTCCCACTAGTCTCAAAGAAGACATGTTATGGAGGCACAATAGCCCAAAACTTCGCAGTGAATGAGAAACTATGCATTTGCTGCGGTGTCTCCCCTTTAGAGGTGCTGGTAGGTGGATTTTTTTTTGAAACAACAGATAGGCTAGCCCTTCCAACCTGTTCCAAGTCTGTATGCTAAACTATGCAAACCACCTCCTTGCTCTATTTCCCCAAAAAGTCCAGTGGGTTTTTAGAACCTACCTGTGGCGAGATTGATGGGAGACGCCTGCGTCGTCGTGTGACTCACTCCTCTCTTCTCTCCTTCAAAGGTAACTGAGGCGGCAGAGGAGGCGACCGAGGAGAAGGCGTAAAGACACGGGGCGCGTCCACCGACTCGTCCCCCTTCTGACAACCGTGGCAGCAAAGCATCTTTTTTTACTGACGATTTTTGTACCATGCTGAATTTTTTTTAGACTTGTGATAGTAGAGACGGACAACCAGCAGCCCCATCCCATATGTTCACGCTCCTTTCAGCTCCCTCACCCGCAGTATGTGTTTTGCTCTACTCTCCTCCCTCCTCCATTCTGTATCGCTCAACGCAGAAAAAGACAGAATGAAGTGTTTTTATCGGGCGGCTGCAGATGTTCTTCATCTTGCCTGAAGGGGGCCGTAGACGCGACTGTTATGATCTCTAAACCAGCTCTGGCTATACATGTAGTCTCCACGAAGGATCATTACCATCATTGACACTCTTGACTACCCCCCCGATGGTTATACGGTGAGGATTTGAAGATGCACAGTTTGGATGCAGAGCTACAATAAACCAGGTTCATAGTCGCCATGGAGAACATCTGCAGCTTTTTAAACAGATTTTAGTTTTTAGAATCGCCACCACTGTGTTTCACATGTAGCTCCTTTTGTATGTGTGTGCCGGAGTGAATGTGCTTGTGGGTCTCTGTGTGTGACTTTATTTACCCCCCTTATCTTTTTCTTTTCCTCCCCTCCTGACCGCCTTGTCCTGCAGCAGAGTGACATAGCAATAATGAGTGGTGCTTCTGTTCTAGACGCCTCTATTGGCTTTGGACCCTCTGGGCTTCTCTTGAGTTTCATCCTGTTGGGAGAATATTTTGAAAATAAAAGAAAAATTTGATGTCACATGGCGGTTTTGGTGTTTTTTTTTCAGGTGTATAAAACTACTGCAAGCAGAATTATAATTATCATGCATTGCATATACTCTTCTTTTTTTTTTAGTTGGACAGTGATGCCACCTGTTTGCCACTATTTGTCACCTATGCTGTTTTTTTTGGCAAACTCGGGTATCCGACAACATGTGTGGTATGCGTTCTTCTGTGTTGGAGAGCTCCTTTTCACTGGGTTCATGTTTAGAATTACTTTTTTAAACCAACACAAAGCCGGCGCTATGTGTTGTGTATATCTTTGTGTGTGTCTGTGTGTGTGTGAGGTCGCCAGGGGCACGTGGCTGTGTTAAATACAACTGCTGTGTCAGGAAGTGAAAGGTCAGCATTTGCCGAGAGAGTGGTGGGACTGACGAAACCGTACGCTCTCTCCATTCAGGGGAAAACTGTCACTCACTCTCATGGACCAATGATGTGGACCAGTTCCCTTTTTTCTCTTTTTAGCCCGAGGAGTGAGGAAGTCTGAATGCCACGAATACTTTAGAGGCCAATTTTAAAAATGTATTTTCAGAGGCCTTGGGTCAACAATATGAGGTTTCTTTTAGTAGAACGTAGCAGCAGAGGGAATGTGTTGCAACTGCTGAATACATACAAATTATATTTTGGCAGGTTTGTTTTTTAAAGTCGAAAAAAACTCCAATCCGATGATCTGACCTTTTGACCCAAACTGCTGAAATCCAGAGTGAAGCTGACCAGGAACAAAAAAAAACGTGTGGACCTCAGCGAACAAGAACACATGACAATTAAATAAAGCTCTTCTTGGAAACGCTACAATGGCAGCACAGGCACGGATCATAGAAGCTATAACTCACAATGCAAAGAGGCACATTAAGGTATCAGAATCCTGGATTAATGTGTTTGTTTATGGCCGTTCTGAATCATTCACACGGGGAATACTCATGTGTATGACGGTATCACAAGACATGGCAAAAACTTCAGGATGCAATTTGGTAAAAGGGGTGTGGCCAAGAATAATAAAGCTCACACCTTTTTTTAAATGGAAAATGCAATTGTTGTCGAAGTTATAAAACCATCATGTCCATCACAGGTGATTATTTACGGCGAGCTCAACACACTGTCACAGAAAATCGAATGCGTAACTGATCACATGTCCCTCCATTGTCGGTAACCTTTGACTCCTCTGTGGCCCCCTGTGCACTAATTCCTGCCGCAGAATGAGGTTGCCTCCTTGTGGCCACGTCGGCCAGCACAACGGCAACACTTCAGGGGTCAGGATGAAGGGTGACCCACAGAGATTCAGACGTGGCCTCAACTCTGTGCTGTAATGGTTTTTCCAAGTCTTAAAGCCTGTGAAGTTTTACGGATCGAAGCATCGTCTAGTTTATTGGAGAGACCGTTCTAGCGTGGTTGCCGGCTACACCTTCACTCTGAATTCCTGGAAAGCAATAGAGGTAGATATATGCAAAAGCAATAGTCATAAATCAAGCACTCCTTTATTATCATTAGGCCTTGGAATTCACCATTTTGTAATTCAGCCTGGCATGACATTAGCACATTTGACACGGCTGTCTGTTGTCAGTGGAGGGTCAACATACATTATGTGAACCGGACTCGGGTTAAAACGTGTGGGCTCCAAACTGTTCCTCCATTAAAAACAGTTCAGACGTGATATGACTATGTATCAGTGTTATAGTCAAGACCGCCAAAATCCAGACCACGACCAGTAAAAGTCCCACACTGCATGACACACTTGTGGAACATGCAAACCAGAGAGGCCCCCCTCAAATAGATCTGAAAGATCCACATTCCCATAAAAACACGCACAGAAAACAAATGATGATCCCTCTTCATTAATACTATGTGTGGATGTATGAGTGTACCAGGAGGAACGTCTTAATAAATAATTTACGCGAGTAATCAGAGTAATGATGTTAACAAATAAATCAGACAATGCACAGGCAGTTTGGTGATAACCCCGCAGTTGTGGTCCCGAAATAAAGTCCAGATTCCTCTTAGGTCGAGACGAGGCCGAGTAGAAATGCTGTCCGAGACCAGATCAAAACCTACAAGTGGTCTTCATACTGGTCTCGATACCAAGACCATCTTGAGTACTACAGCACTGCTATGCATAAAATATATATGTTACATATTCATTTCATTATTCACACCTTGTTAAGAAACTGAATTAAATTATTATATTTAAATACATTAAAGAACTATGAAAACCAAACACATTTTCAGTAAATAACAGAGGCCGAGATTTAGTCAGTCATCTGTTCAAGTTTCTATCATCAGCTTCTCTCCAGCCACGAACCCGTCTGTTCCCCGATGTCTCTGCCGGGGACAAAAAACAATCTCTCTATAAATAGGAGAGTGGTTGCTATACAAGTGCATATGATTTTTTTAAATGATGCTATTGGAACAAACTAAATAAATTCAATGATGTGCTAGGAATTCATTATTTAGGTAGATTACACCACATAAGCACCTGCACATTACGCACAGGGTGTATTATACTGGGGGGGAAAGAAAATAACAACAGGGATGGAAATGTGTGAACAAACACTTCAAGGTTTGTCAGTGTTTTTTTTAAATTTTAAATACAATCTTTGGTTCCTCTTAGGTGTGTAAGTATCTCTCACTGGATTTTAGGTTGTGCTCTCCCTGGATTGCTGTAACGAAACACAACATTGACATTACTAAGGAGGCGATTTGTTTTGGAATTGATGAAGTAGTCTCAGGGAATTTTCAACAGAAGATAGATTATGGTAATATTAGAGATACGTGTTAATTAATGACGCGTGCTCTCATCCATGTCTTACTTCAAATAAAAGAGTACAAAGTTCAAAAGGTCAGTAAGAGACTGGGAGCTTGTGGAATTTTTTGGAAGGGGGGCAACATGCTGCGTGATACATGTATTTTATAAATATATAAAATACACTGTTTACATAAATAATAGCATATTAATTGATGTAGGAAACAAGTGTTGTTCTCTTTCTCAGTTTTCTAGTGAACCATAAAGGAAGTGTGCCGTGTGATGCATTTCCTTGATTATCTATCTTGGCTTAAATGTCTCATCGGCATTAAAATTCCTGTAACTCATGAGGTTTCATTCATTAAGCTGCATTCCCCTTCTTCTTCAACCCTTCCCCCATTTTACTGCCTGGCAGTATTTGGAAGAGAAATGGACGACTTCCCCACCAAACGGCACCCAGAGAGAGTGGGTGTGTTAGCCAGACATCTTGTTACACAACGACAGAGTAATCACAAGCGAAGCCAACAACACACAAAACACACACACACAGAATGAAGACAGCTAGGTGTATTATTTAATAAAACCGAGGTAAAACGGTTAGGTCGGCTGTAAATCCCCTTCAAACACGGCAGCCATATTCTACATCCGCAGCTACAAATACATAACAAAATAGGACAGGAATTGCGTTGTATTAATCCGCAACAAATTCTAAATGATGGGTGCATATGCCTTTAATGACTAAAAACGTGATTAAATGTCGTTTAGCTACGAGGTAACGGCCATTCTGCAGCAATGTGTCCTCTCCTACAGCAGGCTGCCATTTCTACCTCCCCTCTACATGCGTGAGATACAAGGCACCAGTTGTATTCCTCCGCTGAAGGGCTTGCGCTTTTGCTTTTGATGGGGGGGAGGGGGATTTCAAACAAACATGCCTCCACAACCGCCGCTAAAATTCACCCCGAGTGATAGTCAGCGCAGGATTATTTTAGCGGCTGGTTCCTTTTGCGAGAGAAACACGAGGGGGGGCCAAAAAAACAAACAAAAAACGGCGCACACCAGCGCACTAGTTGTCCGCTTCGCGGAGAGATACACGACGCAGCCGGGACTCCGTGTGAGCGGAGCTGAATGGAGGCAGCCTCTCTTCCTGGTGGATAAACAGTGACAGCTACAGGGCAGCCACTTAGACCCGCCACACAGGCTCTGCCGCTGCCCTGGCAAACAACACCAAAATGGCTTCAGACAGTACACTCATCGCGCAGTTGACTTCTGGTGAGTAAAAGGAGATCGGAACAAATATGTCATGGTTGTTTTAATAACCCCCCCCTTCGGTGCCCTCTTCTAACGCAGCTCCTCTTCTCTTCCCCCTCCAACCATACCAGAACTGTACTTCCTAATAGCCCGATTTCTAGAAGCTGGACCGTGTCAGAAAGCAGCCGAGGTTGGTGTTTATGCATTTTAGGATAATTCATAATGTGTCCGAAATTGTCACGGGGTGTAATTTTCTATTTTTATCCCGATTTCAGACCCTGATAAGGGAGGTGGAGGAGAAGGAGGTAAGCAGTCAGCAAATACGAGAGAGAGGTTTCTCTCCGCACTGTACTTTGCGATGTAGCTTTTTTTACTCTGATGTATCATTTACTGTTTTTAAAAACATCGCTCGCTACATTTATGACTCGCTTGATCACAGTCGACACTATGTTTCCATCTCAGCTGCTCCCCATAAGGCTGGACTGGACCGGGCAGGAGCACCCCGGGACCTACGAAAATTTGGTAAGGGAGCTCTATAACTGAGGAAAAAGTTTTTAGAGAGCGAAATAAAAATTGAATTTCCCGCAATTTTTAAATCAGGTGGTAAAGAAAGAAAAACAAGGTGAGCTGGCTGCAAGTTGGGGATCTGTTTTTATTTTTTATTTTTGGGGGGGGGGGGGGGGGGGGGGGGGGGGGG